CCCCAAAACCCCAAAACCCCAAAACCCCAAAACCCCAAAACCCCAAAACCCCTTCAATTATATAACCGGATGAAAAAGTGGAATTATATAATATTTTTGACAAAAAGGTAATTATGAACATCGGTGAAGAAGACTTTGAACTTAGCTATGCTGACGATAAATCACGCAAAAACGATTCAAATATACCCATTAGAGCTGGTGGGTCAAAACAAGCATCGAATAGGAAAAGAGCCCGAAATTTCGAAAATTATCAGAAAGAGGGTTCAAATTTAAAAAGAGCTAAACATAGTAATGCTGAGCACGATCAGGTTTTCCACAGAAATGCTGAAGAAGTAAAAACTGAACATCACCAACAACTTATTAAAGAGTACAATAATATGAAGAGGGTCTATGAGGAAGAAAGAGTAAACCAACAATCCCATCTCTATCTTAGAAGAATGGCTCACGATACTACCAAAAAGATACCAGGATTATCCAAATATCCACTTTTGCAGTTCCTAGTAAATGCCTCCAAAATTATGATGCTCAATGAATTCGAGATAATTGCTTGGGCTCTTTGGCTAGATGATATTCAACTTGTAGATGATGAGTTTACTGTTGAAGAAAAGACTCTTTTCACTGCCCTATACGTCAAAGGTACCTTAAATAACAGCAAGCACCTTATGACTGTTCTTCAAGAGTTCCTTTCATACATTCAAAACTTCATCAATAAGTTTAACGCTTGGGTTGACAAAAACTCTGATACATTCCAACCTGATCCAATCGCTATGAACTTCAAGTATATTGAGTTAAGCAGGCCCTATAACCCCAGGATGGAGCAAGATTTCGTTGAATACAATCATGTTGTGGACGAAATTCTCCAAATTTCACCACCGTACACCAACGAATCAAAACACGCACCCAAATATTCGGCTCCTGAGATAAAACCAGGAGGAGAGATCCCTGGTATTTTAAACTCAAGGCAAATGCAGCCAATCGGTATTGACAAACTCCTGCTAAAGCCCGAGCCCAGCAGGAACGAGTTAATGCCAATGAGAGACTTCTCAGCAGGCTCTTTCAGCTACTACCCCAATTACGCACAAGATAGAAGCGGAAGTATGGACTTAAAGAACATTGGCATCAACAAGAGTGCAGCTAAGGGAGGAATATCAGGCATCATCAACTCTCTTAAAGACCTCTATGATATGGACGAGAATGCTCCTCAGCAGCCGTCCATGAGTGCCCTAGATTCTTTGTTCCAAAACATCAAGAGTAACAACAACTCGAGAATACTTCATCAGGATCTCTCTAAGAACAAATCAAACGTAGAACTCAAGAACCAGACATATAACTTCATTCAAGAGCGTCTAAGTAACAAGCCTGGAGGGCTTGTGAAGATAAATTTGAATGAACTTCCAAGGGAAAACGATGATTATCAGGTATTTGATCAGGAGCCTAGCTTTGAAAGATCTGGAGCTAATATTATCAAATCCAGCTCAATGATTCCTCTGTTTGAAGGAAGCTCTAACAAGCCCATGAAGAAAGATTAAATTTATTAATATTAATTTCAGTGCCAATTATAGTACCTGGGGTTTTGGGGTTTTGGGGTTTTGGGGTTTTGGGGTTTTGGGGTTTTGGGG